TCCTGACAAGCCTTATAATGATGTGTTCGAAAGGGTCTCACGTCATTGATGTGAGTGTACCACAATAGTAGTGCCACAAAAGTGATGTGTTTAGTTTGCCATCTGACTGGAGGGGGGGCATCACTTCTAAAGGCCTAGAGCCCCATATATGTAATTTGGCCGAGGGAGAAAAGGAGAGGGTGCAGCACTGGAGCATGTGGCTGCCTAATTGACCATTAGACACGTAGAGTGACTTGGCATGGGCTCCAATACTTTATTTCTGCAGTGACTCGGAGCACATGCCACCCTAAACATTATTCATATACAGACATTGAACCTGACCAACAGACGTGTTCATATTACCGTTCTATTAACTTCTATACAGAACAGTTAAACTCCTGCACATATTGCAAGTGAAGGTTATTGTGCCATTCCCCATCAATCAAACTTTCATTATCTCTGTCATCACACAAATGCATAAACATGAGTTCTGACCGCAAGGACCCTCTCTGAGACTCGCTGCTTTACATATCCCTCTCAACAAGTGTTTGAGGCTTATTTCCGTATGCACGGCGGGTCCATGGAAAGGAAAACAAGCGCATGACAGTGCTGTTGCTAGGAAACGCTTCCATCTGCAGCGTCCACTGAGGATGCAATCTGCAGAAATGACACTGACATTCCTTCCTCGCTCTTTCCATTCAGTTAAGCCCACAGGTTAGTCTGCTATGCAGGAATATGTCCTAATGATCACATCTCTGCTGGGAGTACACCTCTAAAGCCATAAACATCCCGAGAACTGTTCATCTTATACGGCTCTTTCACATGACACTGGGCGGAAAAGGGATGAGTGTGTGCATGGGGCATATTTCTAAAGCAGTGAATGTGACTTTCACCAAACATTCACTGGTGGCAAATCAATCACTGTAATTTAAAATAACATGCATCTGAAAGGCTCACCTGCAGTGGATGTTTGGTGAATGTCATACTCGCTGCTTTAGAAGTGTGTGTCTGTAAGAATGTGTGTGTGTGTGTGCCTGTATATGTGTGTTTGTATATATGTTTCTATGCATATATATCTATATATCCCCACACGTTCATACCTACTATCTAATTGTATATTAGTGTGTGATATATACTAGCAGGCATAAAGATATCTGGAGTATACAGATATAGATATATTTATCTATCTATCCCATCTATGTATCTATGTATCTATCTATCTATCTATCTATCTATCTATCTATCTATCTATCTATCTATGTATCTATCTATCTATCTATCTATCTATCTATCTATCTATCTATCTATCTTCTTTTGGCCCAGGCTCTTATTCCTACTATTGTGTATAATATTGAAGAGTTTAATGTCAACAACCTAGCCCCCTTGTATGTCTTCACTTTGTACAGCGCTGTTGCACATGTTGGTGCAATATAAATAAATATTACAATGCAAGCAATATCAATATAGAGCTAGGTGTTTATGTTTATATATGATGACATTTCTAATTATAGACATACACACACACATGCGTACAGGTATATGTGTGTTTTGGTGTGTGTGTTTTTATGTGTGTGTGTGTGTTTATATGTGTGTGTGTGTTTTCATATGTGCGTGTTTTTATATATTTGTGTGTGTGTGTTTTCATGTGTGTGTGTTTTTATGTGTGCACAAATACAAAGATACAATACATCAAATTCTATACATACACAGGCAAATACCTAACCTTATCTTGCATTGATTTGAAATGCCAGTAACGTGATTTGTAGTGTACCAGCCTTAGCTGAGGGATGAGAGACGGATTGATGACGAGTGACGGTCTATAAGTCACCGTTAAACTTACATAGGAAACGCGTACTCGCCGACGATGTCCCAGTCCACAGCACTGCATGAAGAGGAGAGCAGAATGCCATCAGCATTGGACTCCGACGTGGCTCACCTTTCCCTCAGGGATTCGGTCCATACCTCTACACCTTGCTACCCACAGCCAGAACCCCCAGCTGTCCGCTCAGCTATACAAGCAGCGAACGGCTTGTCCCAGAATGTAGACGCAGCCTGCCCTCCACATAGAATGGATCTTGTGATGCCACAGACGTGTTTACAAAGAGCATAGTGTCCTTATGGATGCTGAGCACTGCTACCAGGCTGTGCAGACACAATGCTGCACTGCACTGTTGACAGCCCTTATTGGCAGCATTGGGAATGTAAGCGATGTTTGTCCACAGCTAGAACAATATCGGAGCATTGTGGAGGTGGGAAATGGCATTGTGTTGCTGCAGGTCTACATAACAATCAGTCTTCATAAGGAAACACGTACAGGGGAAGAGCTGTCACAGCCCTGCAGCTCGCCACCCATACAACCCAATCGCTGACCAAGCTTCAACACACTGCCTTATTTATTCTCAATTTATTGGATTACAGCAGGAGCCGGCGATTGCTTGCACGTTTCACCTAGAACTGCAGGCAGCATGGGCTTAGCAGGCCTTGTTTCTTGACTTGGCTGCTGCAACGATACATTATGCGCTCCCCAGCTGTGTGCCGGCGTTAACCATCTATAGCACAGGCTGGGTTCACTGCTGCTTTGCATCCATTCCTACATGTGGCGGCTGCATTTTTGTAGTCTTTCTTTCCTTTATTTCACGTGGTGATCCTGCCAGTAAGTCTGTTATATTTCAACTTCCTTTACCAAGCCAAGCTGTCCAGCAAAAGTGGCAGATAGAGGGTTGAGACAAAGCATGCAATAGTGACAGGGGTGCTTACAATGGTCATCTTTTGTTCACTTATGTAAAAACTTTAACCCCAAAAAAAAAATGTTGCTGTAACTGTAAAAAAAAAGTGTTAGCTGGAGTTTAGATTTAATTTGTTAGTCAAGTCCATCTAAATCTGCTGGAGCATCTAACACCACCCTCCCCACAGGGTGACAATGCTGCTGTCCAAGGGTGGCTCCGGTGCTCCTCCATACAGTGGAGTCACCCTAAGACAGGAAGTGTGTTACTGGCCGGATCTCCAGGTTAAAAGAAAGGCAAAAAAACCTGAAAAAAGAAAACTAATGCAGATGCCACCACATGCTTCCCCAGGCTGGGTGTCTCCTGGAGCGGCCCCCGGGTCTCACCCCCTGGGGACGTCAACACACACGTGCGTGACATCATCACACGCGCGCGTAATGATGTCACACGCACTTAACTGCCATCGGCCATCTTGACAAAGAGAAGAGTTCATCCGGCGGGATAAGATATGTTGCCGGGTCACCTCCTCTCTCGTGCAGCTATATGGCTCTTGGCCCATGACTGAGTGCCCGACTTTTCAGAGGGGGTGACACCAAAATGACTGCCAGTCAATTTGGTGTTATCACCTCTGATGGTATTTGAAGAACGTCACCAGCACACCAAATCGAATGACTGCATCAAGTGTTAATTTATTGACTTATGCTGTCTCTCGGTTGCAAGCGCTTTCGGGGCCACGCAGGGTCCCCTTCATCAGGCTCAGAGATGACAGATATACTCACCTGCTCCTCAGTCCCACTGGACTACTAGGTCTCAACACCTCTTCTCCCCCCAGGCTACGGCAGTCTAAGGATTGCTGACGCCATCACATCTCATGCAGATCCATTGACTTGCATTAGATGTGAGGATGCTGAGGGACATTCCACAGCCAGTGCGGAGGGGAAGATAGGTGAGCACTGACAACCACGGGACCAAGGATCAGGGGAGTATATCTGCTTTATCTGAGCCCTCTAGACCAAATGAGCAATTAACACTTGCAGTGTAGGGATAGCTGAACTGCAAGGGTCAGTTTTTTAAACTCCTGGAGTTCTCCTTCAATATGATCCTCCTGTAATCCCTGTACAGCAGCATCCAGAGGGAGGAGCAGCACTAGGGGCCTATAAGGTGTGCTGCATGCACATGTGGTGAAAATGCTGCTGGAGGAAAAAGCAGTATGAACAGGGGATGAACTGCTACTGCTGCTTCTTTACTGTCCAATCTCAGCCTAGACTGGCATAAACCAAAAAAATTAGGGCTGCGGAAATTAACGATTAATTACCCGATTAAATTTTTTTGATCAATAATGAAAACACTCACCTCTGCGCCGGCTTCCGGGTCTTCCGTCGGAGATCCGGTGACGTCACGGACATCGACGTCACCGGACTCCTTCCCCCTTCCCCAAGTGGCTCCGTCGGCTAACGAAGGAAAGGGGGAGGAGTCTGGTGACGTCGATGTACGTGACATCACCAGACTCCTCCCCCTTCCCTTCGTTAGCCGACGGAGCCACTTGGGCCGGTGATCTGTCGACACTTAACGAGTTCTGCGACCGCCTGACTTCCGGTTTCGTTACAACTAAGAGGTTTGTCCAACCTCTTAGTTGTAACGAAACCGGGAGTGCTGGCACTCTGCACGAGCGTCAGCCAAGGCATTGGCCTATACACATACAGCACAGCAATGAAGTAATAAAATGAACTAGGATCACACTAATCCAGCACGCTATTATTCTGAGTTGCCCCACTCAAGCGGCGGCCATATTGAGTGGGGCACGTGAGATTAATAACGTGCTGGTTAGTGTGATCCTAGTTCATTTTATTACTTGATTGCTGTGCTGTATGTCTATAGGCCAATGTAGTTGGATCTGTATGTGCGTTATAATTAATCGAAATTAATCGATTAAAAAAAATTACGAAAATTTTAATCAGTAACAGCCCTAAAAAAAAGGAGTGTGAGACCAAACTTGTAAAACCAAAACAGCTTCAATGATTCTTAAAATAACTTCCAACACGTTTCGGGGGCAAAACAAACTCCTCCTTTATCAGGGCTCAGTAATATTTGTTTAAATGGATATAGGAAAGCAGATGCCAGATACATTTTATGCTTATTGGATGAAAGGAATCAGATGTGACAGATGTCTGCCAGTAAAACGGCTGCAGCAAATGAGACAGGAGGAAGAAAGGTGACCAAGGTGTTTTTGATTAAAGGAGAACTATGAGGTGAGTGCTTTTCACTCACCTCATAGTTCTAGCCGACCTGTGACAATGAGACTGTCACAGGTTGGCTCAGTAGATCGGGAGGTGAGCGAACACATACCAGGTTCCCTCACCTCTCGATCCTGTCACGGCTCTCTGCCGTGACAAGGGGAGGGGCTGGATTCCCCTCTCACGCAGCTGGGCGGATCCCGTCATCTAAGTCGTGATCGGCTGCGGCGTCTCAGTATACCGCGAGCTGTAGCTCGCGGTATACTGAGCTTAGGGTAACGGGAGGACGCTAGTTTGTGTCCTCCCGTTACCCAAAGGAGAACTATGGGGAAAAACACTGACCCCATAGTTCTCCTTTAACTGTAAAAGAGAAACGTCAAGTCACAAGGCTGCCTGTGTAAATCTTATGGCTGATACTACAAATCCTTTTGGTGGGTTACACAGCTTCATTATATTCTTTTCAACTGTGTATTTAGCTGCTTTCATGACACTCAGCTGTAACCCTTTTGTTGCCACTGATGTATCTCATATGTTGCTGGCAGCGGACCCCTTTAAACAGACTCTGTTTGCATGCCAACTGTTGGCTTTACACTGGAAATGCTTGTGG